AAATAAAAAAAAACATAGAGGATCCTACTTATTTCGAACCTGAGCAACTCAGACGTAAATTCAAACACCTTAATAAAGTGATTGAACGTTGGGAGAAAATTTGGCGAGAAGACTATCTCACCTCATTGAGAGAACACTTCTATGGAGCTGGTGTTCCTGAAAATCATAAGTCCTTAAGACCGGGTGACATAGTGATTATCGACAATGATGGTCCGAGGTCCCAATGGCCACTTGGAAAAATTGTGACCATATATCCTGATGCAAATGGAATCATCAGGACAGTTGATGTTTTAAGCAAAGGTGTAGTGAATAAGCGGAAAATAAATAAACTAGTGCCGTTAGAATTACAGTGTTGAAAACAAAATTAGTGATTCTTCAGAAACCACACCAACTAAAGCTGTTCAGAAAAGACAAGCAGCAGTGGTGGCGAGTGAGAAAATCAAATTAATGTTAAGTGATGAATAGTTCACCTGCAGTGAACCTCCAACGCCCCCCAGTGTGGAGAAATTTTCTCCAGCCCCTTCAGCCCCTTTCAGCCCTGAGGGGCCCAGCCCTCTCAGAAGGGGCAAATATCTTGTTTACTGCTACGGCGAGTAATTGATCCCAGATGCAGTACCAGTATACGACCTGTGGTCAAGCGACCGCCGCTCCATGCGGTCCAGTGTTGCCAAGTGTAGTTTAATAAGAGACAGTCCATCTCTTACCTTAGCAGGACAATTAAGGAAAATCCTGCTCCCACTTTATTATCATTGTAAAGATAGTGTATATTGTTGTCTATGCTTAAGACAGCAAGATTTAAACATTCTGCTTTGCTTCATGGAGGAAGTGGCAAGGAAGTAAAAGAACTAGGTCAGCTTTTCCTTTGTGCTAGGGGAGTAACGGCGTGGGGTGCTGTGGCGTCTTCAGATTACTTTTGACTCTACTTAGAGTGACACTGACACCAGAATAACCAACAAAGAACACTGATCTGTGCATTAGTGTGAACAAAGTATCTCATAAAACACAATAAGCACTTAAGAGAAGTGTGATCAGCTTCGTTAGTGATAAGATTGTGAACAATAAAGACAAATCTTGTGGAACATAGTGTACCAGTGTGCGTATTCCTAGACTATGGAAGACGTGGACATCCAAGGACACTTCAGCTTCTATCAAGTCACCGATATCTGTCGAAAGTGTGAAGAACTCCATAGTTCACACTACAATAGCAAGGTAGGTTACGAATTTCTTGTAGTACGGGTGACTGTGCAGTTCTTGAGTCGCAAGGAGTTTGTAATGAACCTATAGTCGGCAGTAAGGTGCGGACTTTTGAGTCCAAACAAGTACATAATTTGTCAGCAATCAGTGAATGAAATATGCTGACATAACACCCCCTAGGGGTAATTTATAATCTTACAAATTATAACTCATTTCAGCCCGTTTAGAGATGATCATGACAACAATTCAAGACCTCGTCTGCAGGGGCGGCTGTGTAGACGATTTGCTGTCTTTTATCAGCTAAGTGTTCCCTACATTTAAAATTATAAATTATATCTTAATTGGTAATACCATTTCTCAACAACAACTCCCATCTCTACAGCACTACACCAGCAACCAATTACACTTCTTTCAACCAGGTTAAGGCATCACGTACACCCTGTTAACAGAAATAAAAAGAATCAACCAATACTCCACACATAACCTGCACAACCCAACATACCCCACTGCAACCAACCACACAACATACATGAAAACGTACTACCAACCATAGAAGAACCACGCCAACGACAAGCAGGAATATTATTAATGAGTAATATCTTTCTGAGCCACCAGAGGCGTAGGAAAAAATCAAGCTTCCTCCATAGTTGCAAGAAAAAGTGGAACAAGAGAGAACCAGGATGGGTAACCAATGGAAAACGAGAGAGCACGTGCAACAGACACAAAAGGATAAGAAATTGGACCCCAAAAACGTATATGTGAATGAAAGGAGCCAGGGACGGTTAGTAGTATACCAGAGAAGGGAGTTGTATTATTATAACGTAGTATTGATGGTGGTGGTAGTAGTAATTATATAGTATGGTTGTAGTAGTTATAGTAGTAGAGTAACGCAACTTGGGTAGTGTTGGTACTACTTCTTTAGTATGTGCTATTACCACTACTGTCACTACAATAACATTATTACCGCATTATTCTATATTACCCTTGTTCCGGATTCATTTCATACATATTCTACGCTCTCCCCTTTATGCTTTGTGTGTGACTAGTTAAGGACGCGAAGTCGATGACCGTGCGTAGTAAAATGACGTTATTTAATGTATTGTTCAGGTCACGGTATTGTGCCTCTTTATTCTTCTTAATTAAATAAACTGAAGGCACGTACAACCATGGCAGGCAGTAACAACGCCCTAGACGCACTGGAAAAGAATGCTCAATTCACACCCTGGAAAAAGGCCAGGAATTATTTTAAATACTGTCTATAATAAGAGGGCAATTAACAAGGAGAGTGTGTACTAAAACAAAAAACGTAAAATAAGTCTGCTAATAATAAATATTAGCTGCATGGCAGTAAATATTAAGAATTAAAAGAATTAATGAGAGACTTTGAACACAAGAGGTACACAACACAGTATCATCAATCTGTTTTGATAATATTTGTCTTTAATATATTAGGGAGATAAGATGAAAGATTACATCGTACCAGACTATAGTTGCCAACCTGTTGTAAGTGTCTGTGCGGAAGTCAGAGAGTGAATACTGGCATGTGGGAGGCCTCCTGATCTTAGAATCTGATTCCAGTGCCATCTCATGGTCAACAGTAGGAATTAATGTGTGCCAATCACAACCACAAATGTACATGATATATGGCAATAGTTTATGTGGAGATAGAGGCTTGTGATATGCTGTAATTTTAACTTTATTCTTTTTACACATTGTATACAAGGTTTATTATTCAATCCAATCTCATTACTAGCTGTTATGTGAAAATAGATCAAAAATACGATATAGAATAATAGTGAATATTTAAGGAAATCAACATAATTAAGTACTGTC